GTTTCCTTAAAATTGTAAATATTTACGATCAACACCAATGTTACAATCATCATTGATTGTTACGAATGATAACAAAATCGACAACGTCTTGTTTGAGGAATTTCAATGAATGTTATTCACATTAGAGATTGAATATTTGAATATCAATGCGAAGGTCATCAAGGGGATCTAACTAGAGCCAGAACGGTCTCGGAGATAGTCGAGAGGTAGAGCACCCGACCGGTACTTGTTACGTTGTGGGCTTGATTCCCTTTCATTGAGGAAACTTTCGCTCGGAACCGAGTGGAGCACCGGCGTTACTGATATCCCAAACTGATTCAGTGATAACGTATCGCAATGGAAAGAGGACACCTACCTCAAATCTTCAGTCTGCTCGCGTACGCTTGTCGGTTGCTGTTGCAAGTCCTTTAGCAATTCATTACGCATTCTCTGCAACTCGCCCCACATCTCTTGCTTGACCTGAAAAGTTGCAACGCATAAATTTCAGCATCATTTTAGTTACGACAGAACATTGTAATAAACAAGGTGAACGAAATGATTGCAGTTGTTCGGTAAAGTACTAATTTTGTTTCATCGGTACCTGTTTAGTTTCCTCGCGAATCTTTTGCAATTCATCACGCATCGTTTTATGCACTTCTGCATGCAATTTCTTCGATTCATTTATTACCATCTGAAAGTTGATCAGATAATACTTAATATATGTACATTTATTAGAGAAACATCGGTTGATAATAGCGTTTACAATATTATAAGTGTAACTGCCAACGATGAGGAATCAAATGATTGGTACCTGTTTCATTTCCTTTTGCAGTTCATTACGCATTTTCTGCAACTCGCCCCGCGCTATTGTCTGAAAAATTAAGCGGATAGGTATGGCCATAAAGGAGACGTACCCTAAGATTTATATAATAAGCCTCGTCGAAATTTTGATCTCATCCCCAAGCCAGTAATCGATATTTCAATATACTCGTTCCAGATCTCTAGAACGGAATTCGAAATCTGAATACTTTCTGAATTCCGATTTGGATAATTTGAGATAATTTGAAAACGAAATCCAGGATAATGCCATCCAATTACACGATCCGTTATAGAAGTGCGCTCAGCATTCGTCGAAATTTTAGATCAAACATAACATGAACAACGCTATCAGCATGATGTACTAATTTCGATGAAGACCTTGATCAATGTATGGTCTAGACGAGTCCCGTCATGACTGTTTTCGAGGCATCTTCTAATTTAAAAAGTGGAATTTTAAATCGAGGTATGTATTGCGATCTTCAGACCGAAACAAATGATTTCGTAAAATAATTGGGTAACGCTCATCTCATACCTCCCCGCCGATTGTGAAGTGAGCACAATGCTAAATCGCTATCAACAATGTTCTGCTTTCCCATTCTTGAATCATGAAAGGGAAACTATCTAACTGAACTAATTTGATTTCACTGTCAACGTACCATGTAATCAATAAGCATACTAAAAAGACTAGTTAATTGGTTAATTGGTTAATTAATTGGTCCCAGCAACATTTTCTCACAAATTGAAATTTTTTGCAAATGAAAACTGAACACGCGCGGTTTCATTTAATTAAGAATCGACAACTCTCGATCGAAACGCTTTTACTCGTATTCGTGATGAATGGGTATGCGGATGATTTTGGGAATTAATAACCGCAACTAATTGCTGCCAATGTGCTTGAATTTAAAACGGTAAAAACATCGACAAATTAATACTGAACACTCATTCACCTTCATTGGCATATCGTTTAACTCATCGATCACTTCAAGTATGTTGCATCGTTTCTTTGCATCCATTTGCCAACAGTTCTCCATCAAACTGAAATTCGTTCACTCCAACAAACTCATTTTTCCGAAACATATCGATAGCATTATAATCGGTAGCACCTCAACTAATTTCTCGACTGTTTCACAACAATATTTGTCACTTAACTGATTAAATCAAAATCAAAAGCATCATCAGTAAAACCGTACCGTTTGAAATCTGCCGGACATTGCTCAGGTATCGCGAGGGTTGACCCTTTTTCTGTAACCGATTTCCATATACCAAAACTACCGTGACCTTCATAGGGCACCTGCAATAAACGCATCCCATAATGAAATGTGAATATGGTGACCTGAAAAACAATTCAACTTTCAATTGTGAATACCTCTCGCGTGATCAGTTCCCATAGGACCACTCCATAGCTCCAAACGTCTGTTGCTGTGGTTATTTTGTCCCTTCTGATCATTTCGGGACTGAAAATTGACAAACGACAATAAAGATGTAAAGAACTGATACGATGATGATTTTCAACTTCAGAATGAGCAATCAACTTGATGTAAACATAAGCGGGGTGTATGTCTAATTGACCGATACGGCTCACCTCATCCACGGAATTGTGCCACGGAGGGATGTTTCCGTCTCCGAATGGGTCAAATTCTTCGACCCTCCAAAATCACACAACTTGCAGACGAGTTGACGAGTCAAGACAACATTTCCTGACTTCAAGTCACGATGGATCGTTCTCGCAGGCGCCTCATAATGCAGATACCTAATTCCACTTGCTATCTGAACAGAAGTTTATAAGTGATGAAATCAGCGAACTACATCCAATGAACTGCAAATCGAAT